TTTTAAAAATATGTTTGGAATCAACAATTACTATCACATTAACAATGTAGATTACATCTACATATTATACTTTATAAATTCTACAATATATTTATGTTAAATTGCCATACTTTGCGAGATAATAATTTTAATAAATACAATTTTTTCCCACTTATAACAGCGCAATTAGAAAGCGCGAGCTTGAGCCACACTGCAGCGCATCACCGGATCTCCGTGCGTCCAAAGAACCGGCGTCCACCGCGTCGCACGATGACGACGACATCGCCCAACAATGCCGCACCCAGTTCGCCATCGATACCACCGACCATCGCTGAGGACACCTTGGATAGTTTAGAGCAACAAGAGCAACAGCAGCAACTGCTCCAATCGACTAGCAATGCGCCGTCACCGACGGAACCACCTAGAGCTATTGGCGTGACTAGGAAATCATCGAGCCGGCTGTCCCGCAATTCTGACATCTTCGAAGAGTTGGAGTCAAAGCTGCCGCGAAAACCAAGCGCAACATCATTATCACCAGATAGTCTGGATGCTACAACAGCGTCGCGAAGCAGCGCCGAGATAAACAGCATTGCTACCGAGGAACAACAGGCAGAAGTCAGATGGATACCAGTCGCCAGGAGGCCATCCAATAGGATATCCAAGGGCTCCGACGTATTTGAAGAACTGGAAGCGAAACTACCGCGTAGAAGATCTTCGTCAAATCGATTGTCCAAGTCACCCGACAGTCTGGATTCATCTCCCGGCTGTTGGTTCTCCAAATCCACCGAAGACGGCTTCGACAAACTGATGGAGTATGAACAGACCGCAAAACCAGTGGCTTCGGTCAGAAGACAACTGCTGAATCCAATCTCGAAATCCACTGATCGTGTTTCTAAATCATCAGACAGTTTAGAAGCGATCGAACCATTGGCCAGCGATGATTCGATGGAACGACGACGAAGTAGTTTCGACTTTCGAGCGCGAAGAAATTCGAAGGCGATGTCTAAGTCGTCGGAAAGCTTTGATCTGCTTGAACAGAGCGATTGCACCGGCGAGGAAATCAGCCAAGAACTGCAGAAGCGAAGCAGCGTGTCCGACATCAATTTATCACGCGGAAGAAGATTATCGAAGAGCATATCCAAATCGTCTGAGAACTTTGAGAGAATCGATATGAATGATATGAAGGACGATGTTGAGGCAGAATTAATATTGGATGATGACGCGCCAAAGATGGGTTGCAGACGATCAAGCAAAAGAATGTCATCGGAGAGTTCGGATAATTTGGACGTGGAGGATAGGCTAGAGAACAGGAGAGTTAGAAGAACGCCTAAAAGAATACCGAGTACCAGTATAGTGGATATGGTAGTTTCTGGAGATGACCACGAGGGAGAGAAGCGACCGACTCCTACCAGAAAACCATCGAGACTCCAGAAATCTTCTGAAAGCTCAGAACTGGGTAGCACCGATACTCTGGATTCGGAGAGGAGGAACAAATCATCGGAGAGCACCGAGACGTTGGATAGTCTGGAGAAAGACTTGGAACAGGATAGGAAAGAAGAGGAGATTACGGATAGCGTGATAGATAGGCGTGAAAAAAATGTAAGATTTTATGAAAGACAGAAAAATGATATACATTAATCCTCAATTAAAGTTATAAAAACTACATCTAAGTTCTAAAGCATCCTGTTTGAAGTACAGACTTCAAATGAAATCTTCCATTTTACGGTGATTGATAGAAGAAGATTTATAGTCTTTTTACCTAATTTAGAATCTCATAGTACTAATCGTAAAGATCACATATACAATCACTTAATAATTTTCGCTTCGTTCAAATGACATTATAGGGTTAAAGTATTTTTCTAGTTTTTCTTCTTCTAAGATCTAAGAAATTACAATTAAATGAATAAATTAAATGAATAAATTTTCTTAGTGTTAACTTATTTTTTTATCAGGCTTCAAGATATAACAAAATTTACAATAAATGTTAAATTATATGTAAGTTAAACAGTTTTTCTAACCGTATTCTCCAAATATTTTCTTAATTCTTTTCTCGATGATAGAGAATTAATTTTTAATAATTTTTCAGGATTCGTGGTCTAGCAGAAACGTACCAGCAACCGATTCTGATCAAACATCAATGGGAGACGATACCGAAGACTCCAAATCGCTCATTTCTGCCGACAATAAATACTACTGGCGTCAATCTTCTGAACCAGTATCTAAGGAGAACTTAGGTATCCAACAGTTGTTGGCCATCACAATAATGACCAGAGTGACGGATAACGGAAATAATCAACGAGGCTCCATCATTTATCCAAAGAAGAAACAAATGAGTACATCGCAGCCATCGTCGCCGGTGGCCAAGCAGGAAGACACAAAGATGCTTTTCGACAATCTGCTAGTGAGCAATAAGAACGATGAGGATCTGCAAAACATGCTTAACGGAAACATATCGGAGGTGTCCACCGATACCAAGAGCTTCAAGGAGAAGCTGATCATGTTCGAGAAACTCGGAAAATGAACGCGATAGAACGATATGGAACCATTGTTTCACAATTCTTTTTTCGATTAGCAGATCGCTTTGTTATAGCGACCGATGCTTAATGCAGGAAGAGAAAACAGGAAATACGAGAAAAGATAAACGATCTCGTTTAGCGCTTGGTAAATATGTTGTAGATTAGTATTCTAGCTATTTGGATTATGAATGGAGTAAAAAAACGAAGGAAATCAAGAATTAAATTTGCAAATAATTATTTTTTCTAGACAATTTTTTTGATCGTTCATAGAACTGTGGATACAAAATAAAAAAATCAACGAGTAATCATATATGTATATATGTGTGTGTGTGTGTATGTGTATGTGTATATAT